TGCTTGGGCATGTTACAAAGCTCTTTTAGCTTTACCGTAAGTGCCCTGAGGCACCCCACTCTGCAGTAAGCCTCAGCCTGAAGGTGCTGAGCTCTAGCTCCATGGGTTGGCAAACCTAGCTCACCAAGTGCCCGGAGGCACCTTACTCTGCCAGCAAGCCTCTTGCCCGAAAGCACTCAGCTTTCTCACTCCATGGGCCAGGCCGTCCCCTGCCAGTCTCCTGGTTCTGCTGCCGCCATCTCTCTCCCACTGCTTCTTGCCGTCTTCAGTGCTACAGTTCTCTCTCTCAGTCTTCTGGTTCCAGAAGCTTCTCAGAGCAGGGATCCCAGGTGCAAATGACACGCTCCACTCCTGGCTCTTCTTCTTTGGTGGTGGTGAGATCCTCCCTTCCCACCTCTGGGATGGCTCATTTTAAGCCTAGCCAGATGGTAAAACTGACCAATCCCTTCCTTAGGGTTCTATATACCTTATTTGCTTAGTCCCACTCAATCATTGTGTATGAGTCACAAAGACTATGCCTAGAAGGGCCATATTAAGTAATTCATTGCACCACAGTACAGATCAAGTAAATATTTAGTAGATTTCCTATCTATTTCGCTCCTAGGGACACCATTACTATGCAGCCAACGCCACAAGTCCATATAAGTCAGACTATTCTGTTACGGGTTTGACTCTGCTATCCATTACAGTAACCATGCCCACCTTGTCTTTGTTGATTAAGTGCTGCCACTTGGCCCCTACCAGCATGAGGTCCAATCAGGTCCATCATAGTTAGGTGTCTTAATTCGGTCAGGGCAGTTCCCACCGTCAAATCTGACTTACATAAAACAGCAGTCACTGCAGTCTTCAAGGATGCTGGGGCCCCCTTCACAAATTGTTCCTCACCATTATGGTAAAAAGTGTGTCTTGTGGGTCACTGGGACTTAAGTCTAGTTACAGGTCTAGAAGCAAAAACAAGTGGTAGGGGTGGGTCCTGGGGACATTCAGCAATGTCTTGTAAGGCTTGTACCTCAGGCAATGCCCAGGCAACACCCCAGCCGCTGCCCCAGGCGATATCTTAAATAAAGGCTCTTCAAGCACAGCTAGGTTAATCTCATCAGATGAGGGTGGAAGGGATAGTGGTTTTACTGGGGAGGGTGGCTTAGCAGACAAAGATGAAGTAATCTCTTCAGATGGGAGGAAGAGGGCTGGTTCTGTTGGCAGGAGTGATTCAACAGAATTTAGGGGCTCAATGTCCCCAGCTTCCTGATTATCTGCCCATATGTCCCCATCACAAGTTTCAGGATCCCATTTCTTCCCAATCAATACCCTTACTTTAACTTCAAACATGACTCAAAGTTGGGAATTCAATTGGCATTGTAGTTCAGTCACTTACAATAAGACTTTGGGTTTGGTTTTTGGCAATATCCATTCTGTTACTACAAGAAATAAGGCTTTCTTTCAGGGCACAAGTGGCAACTTTCAAGTCTTTTATGCGGCACTTAAGCTGTGACTGTAAAGCTTTGAGCTCATCCTTTTCTTTTACGACTTTTTCTAGTGAAAGTAGGACCAACCGACCAGCTTCCTTATACTTCTCATCTGACAAGATTGTAGAAAAGTATCAAATATGCAATTATCCAGAGCCTTGCCTCTCAAAAATATATGATCCATTGAGGGTGATATTTTGTGTATTTATATTGTCACCTTATGCCATGCATGAGCAGTGCCCTCTTTACTACTGGAGGTAGAGTCATAAGCGCCTTTAAGATTAGCCAGACTTGAGAACCAACACAGAAAAATCATCCTCACGATTTTGTTCCTCTAGAACCACTCTCGGTACCAAATGGCTTAGACTGAGTTCTCTAGAGGACCAAAACCACTGAAGTGTATATATACATATACTTATAGTGACCCTATAGGACAGAGCAGAACTGCCCCATAGGGTTTCCAAGGAGCGACTGCTAATTCAAACTGCTTGCCTTTTGGTTAGCAGCAAACTCTTAACCACTGCACCACCAGGGCTCCATATACATATACAGAGAGATTTATTTCAAGGAAATGGCTCATGCAGTTACAGAGGATGGCAAGTCCCAAATCTGTGGGTTAGGCTTCAGGCTGATGGTTTCTCCTGACTCACATGGTTGCAGGGGCTGACAAACCCAAAATCTGCAGGTAAGACAGCAGGCTGCTGGCTCACATCCCAAGAGCTGGATGAGCATCCCAAGAGTTGGATGCAGGATCGAGAGTGGGTGATCTTTGCCACAACATCCATATATCATATTTTATGCAAATTAACACACATCTTCTACATTTGTTTGTCAACCATGCCCTCCTGCCAGGAGGTATTTTCATAAGTGCTGCTATGCCAGATTGTTTTTATATGTTACTCTGAAAAAATTAACATAGCATGCTTATGAAAATACCCTGTGGGTGGAGGGCGTGATTGGCAAACAAACGTAGAAGGTACACGTTGTTTGTACAAAAATACGACCTATTGTATGTAGGCTACAACCCCAAGGAAAACCCCCTTTCAACTGATCGGTGCTCACATCAGATCAATCAATCAATGGAGGATGATTACATAATATCTGCCAAACCACTGAGAATCATGGGCTAGCCAAGTTGATATATAACCTTAACCATCAAAGTAAGAAAAGCTAATAGAATTAAGAATTGTGATAATTATTTAACTATGTGTGGTAGGTTGAATAATGTTTCCTAAAGATATCCATATCCTAATCCCTAAATCCTGTGAATGTTACCTTATATGGCCAAAGTGACTTGCAAATATGATTAAGTTAAGGATGTTGAGATGGGGGGCTATCCTCGATCAGCTGGGTGGGCCCTAAATGTAATTACAACTGTGTTTATAAGAAGAAGGTAGAGGGAGATTTACTACAGTCAGAGGAGAAGGTAATATGATAATGAAAGCAGAGATCGGAGTGATGAGCTTCGAAGATGGAGAAAAGGGCCACAGACTAAGGAATACAGGTAGCCACTAGAACCAAAAAAAAGCAAGAAATGGATTCTCTCTTCAAAGTCTCTAGAAGAAACCAGCACTGCCACGCAGACTTTAGCCCAATGAAACTGAGTTCAGACTTCCAAACTCCAGAACTGTAAGAGAATAAATATGTGTTGTTTTAAGCCACTAAATTTGTGACAATTTAGTAAAGCAGCAATAGGAAGCTAATAAATTGTGTTAAAGGAAAACAAATTGATAAAATTCTGACTTCCTGCTTCTTGCCCCGTGGATATCCAAAAAGAAAAATGTAGAAATGTATGCCAAAGTTTTCATTAGACAATACACATAGGATCTAATCAAGAAGCCTAGTGTCCTCAAGGAAGTGATGAGCAATTCTCTTGAATTTTGGGAAAGCATAGAAGCAATCTCTATATAATGGAAGATTCTGAAAGAAGGCTCCAAATGAACATGTAAACAAAAGAAATGGCAAAAATTTCATTACGGGCAGATACATAAAGAGCAAATTTTACCCATACACAATGTCTTAATAATCTACTACTGTTACAACAGAAATACCACAAGTGGATGGCTTTAACAAATAGAAATTTATTCTCTCACAATTTAGGATGCTAGAAGTCCAAATTCAGGGTGCTAGCTCTAGGGGAAGGCTTTCTTTCTTTGTCAGCTCTAGGGGTAGGTCCTTGTCTCCTTTCAACATCTGTGGGCCCAGCGTTCCTTGGAAATTTGTCTGTGTGTCTTGGCATCAATCTTTTCCTGGTTCTAGGAGGTTCTCAGCGCAGGGACCCTGGGTCCAAACGACACACTTCACTATCGGCTCTTCTTTCTTGGTAGCAATCAGGTCCCTCTCTTCTCTGCTTGCTTCTCTCTCATTTTATCTTTTGTGGGATAAAGGGTGTGACTCAAGCAAGGATGTGACTGGAGTAATGGTGTGACTTGAGTCACACCCTTTACTAAGGGTGTGACACTAAACCTGCCTCATTAACATTCAGAGGTTTGGGATTTACAACACATAAAATGGAGGATAATTATACAATACCACAAAATGGAGGACAATTACACAATACTGGGAATCCTGGCCTAGCCAAGTTGACACATATTTTGGGGGGACACAATTCAATCCATAACATATTAAAAAAAAAAAAAAAACCCATTGCCATCGAGTTGATTCTGACTCATAGTGACCCTATAGGACAGGGTAGAACTGCCCCATAGGGCTTCCAAGGAGCACCTGGTGGATTTGAACTGCTGACTTTTGGTTAGCAGCCAAACTCTTAACCACTGCACCACCAGGGTTTCCCTATGACATATAGTAACATAAAATTGAACTTTTGGGAATTGCCGCTCAAAAATAATTGGCCGATTTATTAGTTTAATCACACTCAAAAGCCTTGGGCTTATGTATTCAGGATTCCCTTTCACGGGCTTAAACCTAGAAAACTAAAAGAATTTAATGGAAACTAGTGGTTTTACTGCTTTTACAGCCAAACCAGAAATTCAGATCAGCTCTAAGAGTTATAAGATAGACTATGGATTTCTCATTTCTCTAGGGTCCTTTAAATGAGAGACAACTGATACAAAAATCACATGTCTTCAGGCTATTTTGGACCAGAACAGGGTTCTCTGGCATATTCAAAACAACCTGCAGCCCTGAGCTAGATACCAACTAGCCTTAACTGACACATATGTGGTTAAAGGTAAAGGAGTCGTGATTGTTCATCTTACACTAAGTCTCCCATGTCAGACTTGTGAATGACCTCCAAATTGCTCTAGTTTCTGAAAGCTATAGAGAATAGACCTGGATTATACTTTGACAAGCTCTGGAACAAAATGAGGAAAAGATAATCATAAATAATTTGCAGTAACTTTTCTGCAGTGCTTTTACAGTTCACCAAATGTTCTCACATGTAAGCTGTACCAACATATGAGAAGCGGGCAGGAGAAAGGGCACAAAAATAGACTTTCAACCATTCATCAGAGGAGGCCCATTTTTCTGGGAGCTATGCACACTGATATGAATTGAGTGCTTTCCTGCACGTACCTGTGTGTCAAAGACATTATTCAGCAAAATTCCATACTGGTGAGAGAGACAGTCAGAAAGCCAACGACAGTCATGGATAACCTAAGGAATTCAAAGATGGAGACAGAATAATTAGGATCTGGCTGCTAATCTCACTAGCAGAGAAATCAGTTTACACACTCACCTTCAAAATTCTCTTGTCTTCTAATACCATCTGAAGTCCATTGTTAAAAGCACGACTTCCCAGAAGGAAAATGTCAAATAAGTAAACACGGCTATTTGTGGCCACCTACAACAGACCATGCAGACACATATACTATAAGATAATTAAGAACTGGGGAAAGGGATCTGAGAATCAAGAATAAAAGACACACTCTTCAGCCAAAGATTAGACAGGCCCATAAAACAAAATGAGACTAAAGGGGCACATTAGCCCAGGGGCAAGAGCTAGAAGGCAGCAGGGGTCAGGAAGGCTGGTAATAGGGAACCCAAGGTCAAGAAGGGGAGAGTGTTGACAGGTCGTGCAGTTGGAAACCAATGTCAGAAAACAATATGCGTACTAATTGTTTAATGAGAACCTAGTCTGTTCTGTAAACGTTCATCTAAAGTACAATAAAAAAATAAAATAGAAGAAAAATAAAAAAAGAATAAAAGACATGTGGCAAGCACGCCTGGCAGTCCCACAGATCTGTCTCTTGCTTCAACAGTGTTTGGATGGAACAGACCCAGGGACTACCCAACTCTAGCCTCTGACCACCATCCAACCACCTCTACATGCACAACCTTCAGGACCATCTTGTCAGCCACCTCTGTTTCCAGGACCAGCTAATATAATTTTTTGTGGTTAGCTCCTAATTGTCAACCAACCATGAGCTCCAAGATCCATCAGAATTATTCTTCTGAAGTGGAAGCTGCGGTCAACCGTGTGGTCAACCTGTATTTGCGGGCTTCCTACGCCTACCTCTCTCTGGGCTTCTATTTCAGTTGCAACTATGTGGTCCTAGAAGGCATGTGCCACTTCTTCTGTGAGTTGGCAAAGGAGAAGCACAAGGGTGCCCAGCATCTCTTGAATAAACAAAATCAGCGCTGTGCCATGCCCTCTTCCAGGACGCACAGAAGCTGCCCAAGATAAGTGGGGTAGGACCCTGGAAGCCATGGAAGCTACCGTGGCCCTGGGGAAGAACCTGAACCAGGACCTTCTGCATACTGTGGGTTTTAGCCGCACAGACATCCATCTTTGTAACTATCAGAGGAGCCATTTCCTAGATGAAGAGGTGAAACTCATCAAGAAGATGGCGCCCACCTGAGCAACCTCAGCAGGCTTGCGGCCTGCAGGCTGGGCTGGATGAGTATCTCTTTGAGAGGCTCACCCTCAAGGACGACTACGAGCTTCTGGAGCCCAGCAGCCTTTGAGGGGCCCCTCTGCATTCCCCTGATATCAGGCTTCTGCCTGAGCATCTCCCTTCAGCCAAGCAGCAGCTTTTTAACCACCCTGGAGACCTCGCCCAAGCTCTGGACCTTGTGGAAACAATAAACCTTCTTTTGGAAGCAAAAAAAAAGGACATGCAACAAAATAGTTAACATCCTGACTTTTAAAGTAAAAAAATAAGCACACAAACATTCTTAACAAAAACAGGTTTAAATTCATCTTAAGCTACAAAGACACAATCACTGTGATTTCAAATGAAAAGAAGTAGACAAACTGGTGATTTTCCTTTTTGCTTTTTACAATCCCAACTTTAACATTTAATTAATCTCATCTCCAGCATAGGGTCTCTATGAGGCTGAATCGAATCGATGGCAACGGCTTTGGGTTTTGTTGTTGTATTCTTGGTATGGTGGTTAAGAGCTCAGGCTGCTAACCAAAAGGTCAGCAGTTCAAATCCACCTGCCCCTCCATGGAAACCTTATGGGGCAGTTCTACTGTGTCCTATCGGGTTGCAATGAGTTAGAATTGACTTGACGGCAACAGGTTTGGGGTTTTTTTTGTTTGTTTTTGTTTTACAGCATTCTTAATATTCTAGGGATCACAGGTTTAAAGAAAATGGACAGCATCTCATTGCTACTAACACAAAAGACTATTTTTCTGGGTTCTATAATATGCATGATTCTATTTGTTATTATGTAGAATTACTCATAACACAAGATCCTTGACCTCTAACAGTTCAACATAGGCATCAAATACACTGGCACAAATAGTAGGATGTCAAACATTCTACATAGTTTTATTGATCAACTGTACACAAGTATAAAATTCTACAGAGGCTGATGCCATCTTTGCTGTTTCAGGAGCTGAACTGTTATTACAGCTACAATTGCCAGGCCTAACTAACACCCATTCTCAGAACTTTCATGTTTTTTTGCTAGAACTTGCTCTTTTTCCTTACCTCTTTAATTATAAAAATTGAATAGACACATCATAAAAGTTTGGAAAATAATTCTCTGCTGGACTGTAAACTCCTGTGGCAAGAGATTCTATCAGATTCACCACTGTATATGCAACAACTAGAACAGAGCACAGCCCATGGATAGCTGTTACACATTTCCTCAGTGGACAAAGACATGTCATACAACTCTCCTTTCCGTTTTTTCATATGCAAAAAGTTTATATGGCTCTAATAATGCCCATTCAATTCTATATCCTGATTTTTCTACTCACAGACTTTCGTTTTTCTACATTGCTCTAATCATCAATATTTGGCAGCGCTGTAAGATTTATCGAATGCACTGTAACATCTTCTATTGTTAACTAAGTGGTTTCTGCTTTCTGATTTTCACCTTTATACACTGCCATGACGAGCAGCTTCTCGCATACTTTTTTCTACATTTTCAATTATTTAGATTTCTAAAAATGGCCCTGAGAAATGGGCCGAAGGAAATAAAAAACTTCATAACTCTTAAAAAATATTTACTGCCTTCATCTAGAAAATATTACTGTATACGAAAATATTTGACCTCAGATAGAGATTAAATAGTTAAATAATTTAAAGTTAAAGAAAAGCCCATTTCCTTTAAGTGCATCCTATGTGTACCAGGTCAGAAATGGTTTCTTTAACAGCTGATGCCAGAATTCCATTTTAGGGAAGAAACTGTGTTTGTCTTAATTTTTAAAAAATTCATTTGTTTATTCACTCACTCACTCATCGACTTGAAAGCAGGGACACAAAAGGAAAAACATTGTTTGATCCACTTATATCAAATATCTAGAATAGGCAAATGCATAGAGACGAAAGTTTATTAGTGGTTACCAGGGGCTGTAGGAAGGGAGGAATCGGAGTTATTACTTAAGGGGTACTGAGTGACCACTTGGGGTGATAAAAAAACTTTTGAAAATGAATAGTGGTGCTGGCTGTACAACATACAGAATGTAATTAATGTCACTGGATCGTACATTTAAAAATGGTTAAAATGGCAAAATTTTTGGTATATATATATTTTACCATAATGTAATTTAAAAAATAAATCTACCAGTGAATTTATAATTATTTTAAAACAAAAAGTTGGAAAAAAACCTTTTACCTGAAGCCAACATAGTTTCCCATGACGACACACGTTAGCTCCTTCTGCGGCCACACTCAGAACACTCTGCTTCTTGATATGGAGCATCTGGTGAGAAAAGGAAAAAAGGGAAAATCCCCAAGGCTTCACTATACACACAAATCACCACTGAATATTTCTGATGCCCTTTTAAGTTTAGCAAAGGTATTCCACAACTGGAAAATAAATCATTCATAACCCAATTGCTAATGAGAGCTGAAAACTCAGATGCATTTTGTTACCACTGACACTACCGAGAAAGAATTCTAGTCTCTATGACCAATTCCTCATGCAAAGAACAGCTCCCCAACACACGGCACCTCACCGTACCTGAATGGGGCAGAAGTAGTGGCTGAGTTTCACAGTAACTACTATTTAGAATAGCAGAAACAAGTGCTCAACAGGTCCCGTAAGGCCTTGGATTCATTTAATTACTTTAAACTTAAATAGTGGTATCCCAGGAACAGACTCTTGTCCTTTGATTATCTGTAAACCAAAACCAAAGCCCATTGCCATCAAGTCGATTCCGACTCTTAACGACCCTATAGGACAGAGTAGAACTGCCCCCATAGGGTTTCTAAGGAGTGGCTGGTGGATTCAAATGGCTGACCTTTTGGTTAGCAGCTGAGCTCTTTACCACTGCACCACTAGGACTTCTGGACTATTTATAGTCTTACCCTATTTTAAAACATACAATTCTATAATACTTAATTCATAATCCATGAAAATATCTACATGATGCAAGACTCTCCCCATTTCACAGGTAGATAAATTACTCAAGAATAAGAGGGCATGTAACTTACACTAGCACAATATCTTCCATTACAGAGGATAAAGTATTCTATGTTCTGGGTATTTCTCATCAATGATGAGAAAAGGGAACTGAATTTCAGTTCCATCCTCAATCAACAACAAAAAGGCTGCAGAACTGAGAATAAAGGCTGTATTTCCTATTTCATAAGAATTTCCAACTACCTCTTCAAATTTCTAGAGCAGAAGTGCTTAACCCATTTTTTTTGTTATTGTCATGGGACTTTTAAGGAATCTGTTGATACATAAAGAACTATTACAACTGAATAATAAAAAGACAAATAAACCAATTTAAAATGTTGCAAAGGACTTGAATAAACATTTCTCCAAAGAAGATACACAAATGATCAAAAAGCACATAAAAAGATGCTCAACATCATTACCCAGCAGGGAAATGCAAATCAAAACCATAGTGAGATACCATTTCATACCCACTAGGATAGATAGGAGCCTCAGTGGTGGGGAGCCCTAGTGGTGCAGTGGTTAAGAGCTTGGCTGCTAGACAAAAGGCTGGCAGTTTGAATCTACCAGCTGCTCCTTGGAAACCCTATGGGGTAGTTCTACTCTTTCAATAGGGTCGCTATGAGTTGGAATTGACTCAATGGCAACGAGTAGGATAGATATCCACCACTTGTCTGTTGTACCGTGGTAGCTTGCATGTTGTGATTCTGGAAGCTATACCAATGGTATTTCAAATACCATCAGGGTGACCCATGGTGAACAGGTTTCAGTGGAGCTTCTAGACTGAGACAGACTAGGAAGAAATAGCTGTGAACATCCATTAATAATTGGAATATGGAATGTACAAAGTATGAATCTAAGAAAATTGGAAGTCACAAAAAATGAAATGGAATGCATAAAGATCAACATCCTAGGTATTACTGAGGTGAAATGGACTGGCATTGGCCATTTTGAATTAGACAATCATATGGTCTACTATGCCAGGAATGACAGATTGAAGAAGAATGGCATCACATTCATTGTCAAAAAGAGCATTTCAAGATCTATCCTGAAGTACAACACTATCAGTGATAGGATAATATCCACATGCCTAAAAGGAAGACCAGTTAATGTGACTATTATTCAAATTTATGCACCAACCACTAATGCCAAAGATGAAGAAATTGAAGACTTTTTACCAACTTCTGCAGTCTGAAATTGATCAAACAAGCAAACAAGATGCATTGATAATTACTGGTGATTGGAATGAAAAATTTGGAAACAAAGAAGGAGGATTGGTAGTTGGAAAATATGGCCTTGGTGATAGAAATGACAGCAGAGATGGCATGATAAAATTTTGCAAGACCAACAAATAATTCATTTCAAATACCTTTTTCAAAAACATAAACGGTGACTATACACATGGACCTTGCCAGATGAAATATACAGGAATCAAACCACCTACATCCGTGGAAAGAGATGATGGAGAAGCTTAATATTATCAGTCAGAACAAGGCCAGGGGCTGATTGTGGAACAGATCATCAATTGCTCATATGCAAGTTCAAGTTGAAGCTGAGGAAAATTAAAACAAGTCCACAAGAGCCAGAGTACAACCTTGAGCATATCCCACTTGAATTTAGAGACCATCTCAAGAATAGTTCTGGCCCACTGAACACTAAGGACCTGTGGTGCAGCGAATTACTTATGACCTTTTGTTACGGATTGAATGGTGTCCCTCGAAATATGTTAACTTAGCCAATCCATGATTCCTAGTATTGTGTGATTGTCCACCATTTTGTTATCTGATGTAATTTTCCTATGTGTTGTAAATCCTACCTCTGTGATGTTAATGAGATACGATTCAATCTACAAGATTAGGCTGTGTCTTAAGCCAATCTCTTTTGAGATATAAAAGAGAGAAGTGAGCAGAGAGATGGGGGGACCTCATACTACCAAGAAACAAGAGCCAGGAGAATAGCCGTCCTTTGGACCTGCGGTCCCTGCGCTGAGAAGCTCCTAGTCCAGGGGAAGACTGATGACAAGGACCTTCCCCCAGAGCCAACAGAGAGAGAAAGCCTTCCCCTGGAGCTGGCACCCTGAATTTGGACTTCTAGCTTACTAATCTGTGAGAGAATAAACTTCTCTTTGTTAAAGCTACCTGTCATGGTTTGAATTATGTCCCCCAAAAACTGTGTGTATCAATTTGGCTAGGCCATGATTCCCGGTACTGTGTGATTTTCCTGTATGTTGTAAACCTAATGAGGGAGGATGGGTGGCAGTTGCGTTAGTAAGGCAGGACTGGATCTACAAGACTGGATTGTGTCCTGAGGCAATCTCTTGAGATATAAAAGACAGAAG